CTACCCATTCAGGATCTTCAGCTTTTAAAGTTATTAATTGTTGAAGAGTTTCTGCAGCATCAGTTTTTGTTTTCTCACGTGATGGTATTCGAAATCGCTGAATAGCATTGTAAAGATCCTTTCTATCTATATATTTGTCAGGATATTTCGTTTTCAAAAGATTATACTGCATTTTGGCACCCAATCCTTCAGTGGAACATATATAAAACTTTATGTCCCCAATCATTTCTTTTGATAACTTACAAAACCATGGTGCAGTTTGCGAAATAATAGGATTTAATTCATGGTTGTGTTTATCATCAAATGAGATACAAGTAATTTGAGTAGTACCCTTGCGATTATTAAAGTTCACATGCCATGGACAGTTAATCTCAGCAGAATAGCGCTCACACTGCTTAGTAATGTCGATAGTTTTTTTGGCCTTATGTGCACGTGAATAGGAACACTCATAGCTGCGTCAACATATGCCCGAATGATCAGAGTGAAAATCACTCCTACTTTTTCGAAAAGAAAAACCTTTAGACTTTCCATATGATTCTACAAAACTGTCCACCTCTTCCCATGTATTAAACGGAAGTCCAACATATAATTGCAAAAGGTTTTCTTGCGATTCATCATCACTAGAAATGTCATTCGAACTATTCAAGGATCAATTAGTAATGTAGACACACAAGAATACAAAAGCAATTCAATTAATACTAAAAACACCTGATTACTAACCTAGAACTAGGGCCTGGTGTCACAATAAAATCGTTTACAGGTGGATTACTTGGTAATTATAAGAAAAAAGACAAACCAGAAGTCAAATAAGTGAATGCCGTTTATTATATAATGCTAAAAACACAAATGTTAATGACCAAAATAGATATTACGACACTAACCTGAAACTTTGGTTCAGCGTCAAATTAAGGACTCCTTCAGGTTCTATTATTGGATTGCTTGATAACCATTAAAAAAAAACAATTCAGAAGTCAAGAAGTAAATACTACTATACTACTTACTAAATAGGTATTATGACACTAACCTAGAATGGCTCGACATAAAATTAAAATCGCTTTCAAATTCTATAGCTGAATTACTAGATAATAATTAAGAAAAAAATCAGAAATCACCTTAACAGCACGTAATTACCAAATTTCCTTACTAACCTTTTGAACCTCTGGATCTGTCCATAATTGAAATCAACTGCAGGATTACTTAATTGACCTTGTGTCAAATTGAAATCATCGACAATGAGATTTCTTGGTGACAGTCAAAAAAAAAAAAACCCTCTGCATCAGCTAGTTGTGTTAACGCATAGCCAGCAATGTTTTTTTCTAACCTTCTCAAATCTTGACTCTTCTCCAAATCAACATCAAGTTACATAGTAAACTTACTGAACCATAGTTAAAAGCAGAACTATCAGAAACTATTTCAACATGTAGCTACTGATTTTTTTTACTAACCTTTGAAAACTTCTGCTCCGCACTAGATTTAAATCAATACCAAGTTCTACAAAGGGACTACTTTGTGACAAATAAATAGTAAAAACAAGTTAAAAGCATTTGCATGTGACGTAGCTACCAGGCAGCTTTCTTACTAACCTTTGTATTGCAAAATTAAATGACGTCGGCTCAAAGGTATGATTTTTCATTGGCTTTACTTGTTCTTTCAGCTTCCTTATCAGCGAACTGATCGTTTCTTTATTTTTACTACACTACTTTAACGAGACAAAGGTGTATTTTTTGAACAAGTGAAGAGGTCAAATCAATGTTCGATCAGTCTATTTATTTACGTATGTGCATATTATATATTTATTTACTAATCGAGTAGACAATGCACATATGTATATATATGTATATTCTAACTCCAATTATGCATGATCGATACGATCTACACAGGTGATAATCACCTGTGGTGAATTCTAGTTATTTTCTTATTTTTTTATTATATTCAAAATTTTTTATTTTACTTCTTATATTATATACTAAATCTTATTTACAAATTATATAAAACTTTGAAATACTATTAGATAATCACTCAATAACAGTTGATCTTTAAAAACTATACAATAAACAAATTTATCATGATATACTATTATAATAAAATAGATGAGACAAGTATATGACTATTGCATAATTGTATATTCAAATCCAGCTGATGGATATATTAACTTTGTCTAATGAGGTTTATAATAATAGCATTAGCCTGTAGTAGTATAACCCAGTATTTTGAACTTTTAAACTATAAATATATTACTATTACAATAGTTTAAAATTAAAATTATAGAAATAATCAACAAACATTAAAGTTCTAGAACAAATCATATGAAATTCTAAAATATTATTAGATATTTAAAATATTCTAATAATCTTTAAAAAGAGTACAAAATTGAAATTTAGTAATGTTTCTAGTATAAATTAATAGTGTAAGACATATTATTAGACAATATAGATTATATATTCGAAACTGGCTAAGGGAAGCTTTCTGCTAAGATCCAAGTTCAGTAGGACTCTTGGTTGAAATACTAGAAACAAAATTTTTTTATATATTTTTTTTTCGAATAATTTTACATATTGTTTTTTATTATATAATATTTTATTAATTAGACTTTGTTACTTTATTTTTTTTTTTAGTTTATTTTATATATTTACTTATATTTTATTATTAGTAATATAATAAAAAAAATTAAGAGTAGAGTATATAATTTTTAAATTATATATAAAACTTTTGATAAATTTTTATTTAATTAAAATAAAAAAATATTTTTTTAAGTAAACAGCTTTTAAATATTAATTAAAAAATTGTAAAATATGTTTTTCTGATTTCAATAATAGTAAATTTATTAAAAGTGATTAAAAACTAATTGAGATA